CGAGCGGCGCGGCCCGTTGCGGAGGGCCCCTGCCTCGCCCTGGGAGCCTGAGGGGATCCGGGCCTGCAGGCAGGCAGCGCCGGGTGACTGAGAATACCTGCGGATCAAAGAGTTGTCTTTAAGAGCATCCACTTACTCGGTAAGAAATGATCCTCTTTATTTATAAAGCAGTAATGAGAGTATTTGTGGCCTTACTCTGAAGCGCTGCAGTGTATTCCTCGCTGCCGCTGGTGGGCTGTTCCATCGGGTGCTGGAGGTGCCGTTTGACCAGGCCTGTGTCGTTACAGCGTTCCGAGGTCCCGCGGCTGCCTAAGGTTTAGCAGCTTGTTCAGTCTCGCCTGAATCACGGGTGTGACCAGGGTATGTGAAGTATTGCAGATTTAGTCCTTGCTGCCTTATTGCTTGCGAGAGTGGCTGTGTGCTAACGTGCTTTAGGAAAACTAGGATCACATAAGCGCAGCTGGCAGGCTTGTGAGTATTTGCGCTAGGGGATTTTTCAGTGGGCACTCCGCATTCATAGCAGGGGAAAGAAAAATCAATTTTGATATCTAGATTCTGGCTTCTATAAGGAGCTTTCTTACCTTAAGTTTGTTTTTCCACTCATTTCAAAGAGCAGCACTGAGCATTGATAAGGAATGGCTCCCCTATCTAGGGGTAAAGTTTGGAGAAAGAAGCTGGCTTGCAGTAAGCGACTTTCAAACACGTTATCAAGTGATTCCCTGTAAATCATCATAATGAGAGGACACATGTAACCTAATTTGAGTTACTCAGAAGGCTGAGGACATACAGAGAGACGTACAGGGCTGCTATGGCCGAGACGGCTTCTTCCGTACAGACACCAGATCCGTCCGTCTGGAGCTTCGCTCCACTCATCTCGACCATCGCAATGGTTATTTTTTGTTCCTTCTCTCGTGAGAAGGAGAGCAAGCTGGCATCCACGCTGAAATGCTCTTTCCCCTGTCTTATGTCGTGTTCCAAGATGCTCCCAACCTTCGCAGCAACAACAAAAAAGGGCAAAATCAGCATTTTAGTGCTCCCATCTGTGGAAGTTGTTAAGTAAATGATCTCTTACTTGTGAGGTGCTTTACCATCTTACAGGTGCACTAAATAATCCACGTATATATGGGACTTTTCACCCTGAAAGATGATGATGCTCATGTATTCAGTTCCCAGTTTCTTGTGAATTTATGTCCAGGAAGCTGAAGTTGTAGTTTGGTTTTGTGTTTTTTTTTTTTTTCTTTTCAATCTGGAGCCAAAGAAGCCAGAAAATTCTGACTACCGTTTCAAGAAAAATGGTAGTAAGCTGTGTCCAACTTAATGTTTATTATCAGCCAAACAATTGTTAGAAATGTTGGGTATTAAGATTTTGGGGCAATTTCTCTCAAAGTGAGCATTTTGATCGCTGCCAAGTTTGAAGTGATTTTTCCTTCCCTTCTTCATAGAATCATAGAATGGTAAGGGTTGGAAGGGACCTTAAAGATCATCTAGTTCGTGATACTGCTACCTATATCATCATCTAAACGATGCTTTACTTAAAATAACATCCCCCCCGCCGCCCCTTCATTTTGAGCCGAGCGCGATGTATGTTCTCTCACCAGCTTAAGCTGTTGGGACGCAATCTTCTCTTCCAAGGACTCGAGCAGTAACAGCAGCTGATCCTCCGTTAGCTCTGCAGAATTAAAACAGGTTTGTACCAAAAAAACCCACCGATGTTTCGGAGACAGCTGGGGAGAAGTGAAGGGTGACCATCAACTGTCTTGCAGGGAGTGCCTGTTTGGTCACAAGATTTTCAGATGCTTTAAACTAAATTATTAGAGCAGCCTCCCTGTGAGATGAATACGGCTGTTGCTCTGGGTACAGATGATGGTAACATTGAGTGCAGAGACCAAGGGGGTTGAGGGGAGATTCAAGCCGTCTTTTGTGGCAGCCTTGGGAAAAGACCCCTGGAATCTGCACTGCTCTTTCTGTAGGATGATATTGCCATCTTTACCCACATTTTAATTCTGACTTCAAGCCTTCTTTTCAGGGATCCCCTTGTGCACGCTGTTCCTGGACCGAGTGGTCATTCAGTGCAACGCTTCTGGCAGTCGCGGCTCTGCGACTCTCCAACTGTCGCTGAACAGCAGCTGCTGCGGGCAGGTCTGTGCTCTCAGCATAAACCACCTTTATTCCCACAATATAGGAAATGATTTTATGTAAATCCTCTGCAGCTCTCTCACTCTGAAAGTTTTTTATGTTCTGCTAGTCTTGTTGGTAGGAATGCTCTTAATATGTTCTGGTGCTACTGGATTTCTCTGTTAAAATGGCCAGACAGCCTTACCATCTAAGGCGTCAAGAGTGTAGGTGATTGCTTCTGCCATCTGGAGGAGAATGTGACTTGAAGAATACTGTAAGGTGCTCAACAGGTCTTTTAAATCTGGGCTTTCTGTTTTCAGCTCCCAACTACCAGTTTCATCAAGAACTGCTTCCATCTAGGGAGATAAGAAAAAGAAATGTCAGGATTTAAGAGCAGAGGTTGCTGATCGTCCCGTGCAGTCTAACTACAGAGGTGTATGAGCAGTCATGTAACATGTTTCTCCCCTCCTTAAGCTATTTGTGCGGCTATAATTGAGGCTTTAGCATTCGCGCTGGCTCCAGTTAAAGACAGGATATGAAATTTAAATGGTTTGATACCTTCAGGTAAATCTGCTAGGCTATATTCAAGACCTGTTTCAGTGATTGACTCTGTCCTGAGCACCTTCTTTCTCTGCATGGTGCTGGAGACCAGACAGATGTGCTGAATGAAGGGTTTTTGGATTGATAGTTGTGGCACCGGAGAGATGACGTCTGGGGCAAGAGGTATGATCTTGCATGTCTCTGTATTTATAAATCCTGGCAAGAAGAACAACTTTGCTTACTCTCTGGCTCAGTTCTTGAAAGAGGGTCCTGTCTCTCATCACAGCTTTGAAGGCTATTTCATCATTCTTTTTAACTTCTGCCTGCAGCAGCCCTAATTTTCCTTGTGAGACACCTGAAAACCAGAAAGAGTCCAGAAATGTCACGTGTAAACTAGGCAATCCCACAAGAAGTTCCCCGACATCACTAAATTTAGAATTTGAATCATTTCTATTAATATTTAAAAAAAAATGTGCCATTTTGACTTGAAGAGTTGTCACGTCTCGGGTAATAGGCAGTACTCTACAGTAAACACATCGCTTTTGGTGGTTTGTGTTCATCCTGAGAGATTCCATCTTGCCCAAAGGAGGTAAAAGTAGTGCAAGTGGAAGTAGTAAAATACGTTGCTTACCATCAGATACGAGCAGTCTGTTGTGTCCTTCTGGGAAATAGTCAAGACCTGCAACAGCATAAAAAGAGCTTTGCTGGTTTAGACTGGATAGGAATTTTTTTTTACCAGTGTTGTTGTTGAGGCTGAACCTGCTGTCCCAGGTTTGAAACCTCACGTGCCACTCATAGGTCAGGCTGGTGTTTGCACTCTTCTCCAGCACATCTGTCTTCTGCCTGTTCATTTAGAACTCGTTATTCCTAGACCTCATTCCCTACTGTCATGTGCCTTACGTTAGGGTCTGTATTGGCCAAGATGTGTGTTAAAATGCAAGTAAATTAAAATGACAACTTGTACTCAGCAAGATCCGTGCAGGCGTGGGAAGCACAGAGCACAGGGGAAGCAAGCCAAATGCGGTCTCTAAAATCCTGCAGCAGGTTGTGTGGATCTCGGTCTGCTCTTTCTCTACCTATCCAGCATAAGCATCTTGTACGCCAGTCTTCCCACTGAGGGGTCAGCCACCCTGTTTTCTCCCTGGCTCTTTTCTTCCGAGTAGGAAAAGAAAACAAAACAAACCTCTGCCATCTGTGCTGTTTTCCAACGGGAGCTCTGCAGTCCCTGAAATTTAGAGCTGAGACTTCCAGTATCCCTCTTTCATTTACTTACCACCCCTCCACCCCCGAAACTGCCTCTCTTTCCCCAGTAGCTCCTTTAGCTTGCACACTACATACGGCCTTTTCCCAGATGATTTCTGCCATTCATGTTGTTGCAAATGAGCTAAGGGTGGCCGTGAGGCTGAATGATACTGCAGAAAATGTTTCTCCTCTTCTGCGTTGTTTCCTGAATGGAGCAGTCGGTAGTGTCTATAAGTTACTTACCCCATGATCTGTCTGTAATGGCCAGCTGGATTGCCCTGAACGCCAGAGTGCAGCCCTTGGGTATAGTTATGCTTTGTTTGTTCTCCCTAGTGCCCTGGTCAAAGGAAAAAATCTGTTACTAGGCCTGGATGGCATGCAGATGTTTGGGAAGGGCTAATTCCTGAGGCTAAAGAGAAATCAAACCTTCACACAAAACTTGGCGTAAAACTGGGTCATGAAGTTCCCCTCTGCCTCGGTGGACTCCGTGTAGCTGGTCTCCTCTGAGGTTTCTATTGTTTCATGAACCACGTACAGATTTTGTCGTGCTTTCTGTAGTTGTTGAATGAGGGAGTGATTCGCATTTATTTTTCTAAAAGAGAGAAAGGATGCAATATCCTGGCTGTTTTTCTGTGAGTTACGCCAAAAGTACCATAGTCACCTTGGAGCCGGAAGCCTTATGCTTGTGTCCTTTCTCATGTTACATGAGTACATAAATATCACAATGTCAGGAACTTCTTGGGGGAAAAAGGTGGCAGAAAATGGGCTGCAATTCTTGCTGTCCTCAACGCGTTCCCCTCCTATGTCTGAGGGGGAGCAAGGCAGCAAGGCAGTGGCCTGGCAGGTCGTATGGGTGATCCGTCCTGAGCTGTGTGCACCTCTCCAGGTACAAACCACGAGAAAAGATGGCTTGACTGCACAGTGAGGTGTTCCTGCTTTCTGAATTACAGAGAAGTCTATAAACATTATGAAGCTGAGTAAGGCATCGTTACCGCCTCTTTCCTGTCCTCTAGAAGTGTGCGTAGTTAGGGAGAATGCATGCTCGTGGGTCTTAATCTTGGGGTTGGGCTGTTGAAAAACCATTGCATTACCTGGCACGGGGTGGGGGTTGGACTAGATGACCCACAGAGGTCCCTTCCAACCCCTACTATTCTGTGATTCTGTGATTCTGTGACCAGCGGGCACGTTCTCCCTTTGTGTCCGTCTTACCTTTCTGTTTTCAGCACCTCAAGTTTTGGTAGTAATATGTTGTTCTTCTCCAGCTTGATGGACCACTCTTTGGCCAAGGAGGCAGCTCCTTTCAGCCCTACGCTTGCAGAGTCAACTGAAAGGCTCAGGCCACCATCAACTCTGTCACTGACGCTTTTTTTGATTGTAAATTGCCTGGAGTCTTGACCACCTCCGCTGGGAAAGAGGGACTCTGAAATAATTTGGTGCGTTAGTGTGATTACACAGACTCAGTAGTATTAACTGTTGTGCACGCAAGGAAGACGAAATGTGGCAGAGTTCAGGCACAAATGCTCTAAATGTTTTTGTCTATGAAAACTGTGAATTTAAGATTGATAAATGTGGGCTTTACCTGTGCTTTTATCTCCAGGCAGCAGCACGTCGTCGAGTCTGTAGCATGTCCGTTTGTAGCAGGGAGATGGGTGGAACATGGCTTTTCTTTTTCTTTTCAATAGACAGAGGGGTTTGAAATGTTCGTGGTCTAAGATGCTGTGAACTGGGACCAGGTCTCCCTTTGGATCCATTTGATTTACTATGGATTGGGTGACTTTTTTAAACATTCTGCTGCAGCTGGGTAGATTTTTTAACCAAAGTGAAGTGTCCTTGTGCCTGAGGAAAAGAGGCAAGACAAGTTCAGCAAAATGACGTGAAATATAAGCAGAAGGTTGTAACAAAATACCTGTTACTTTAATTATTAAGAACTTTTCAAAATCAATAATAACCCCCAAAAGCCCGCGTTAGTACAAGGACGTAGCTTTCACAGGGTGGTGTGTAAGGAAGCATTTGGAGAGGTAGGAGCAGGAGCTGTGGCTTGCGAAGGAGGCTGCTTTGGACTCGTCCCCCTTTGCTGTAGGACTCCCGGTCATTGTGCGGGCTGTGGAGGCAGCAAGCAGTCTGAGGGCACTGAGCTTCCGCCCTGGAGTCTGTGGGGGTTCTTTCAATGCAGATATTTTGTTGCATATACCAGTACATACCGTAATAATGTTTATTACTAAACTACATATTGCTCCTTAACCTAGCACCTAGCATGGTCCTAATGCTTTAATCTTTAATTAATATGTTGCCCTGATGCAAGTCTAAAAAGAAAAAAGCTTGAACAATTTCTGGCTGTTTTTTTTTCACAGCCTCAGCGCTTTGCCTGTCATCTTGTTGCCTGGCAGACAGGAATGGTTTAGCGTTGTTTCGAAATAGAGCATTAGCCAAACGATTTCATCAAAGTCTTACTGCAAGGAAGTGAAAGTGCTGAGAGGGGAAGTAGGAGAGCTTGTTCTATGGCAAATCTCCTCCAAAATATAAAGAAATCATCATTCCGGCAGAGCTCCTTGGGTGTGCCCCACAGCGGAGAGCTGGGTGGGCAGAGGGGCAGGAACAAAATCACTGTTTGCTTCCGGTGGCAGCTTGGTTTTACTCCTAAGTTTCAGTTTTGCGTCTTGCTTCCGTGGGTGTACGTAAGGCATGATGAAGAAGAATTTTGATCTACAAATGAAAAAACTTCCTGTACTTACTGAGAACAGCAGCAGCGGGCAGGTCTTTCCCCTCTTCTGCACCCGCTACTTTATCAAGTCTTGTTAGAGAAGAGGCTCTGATCCCTGCTTACAGTTCAGATGAGCAGATGGGTGGGGGATATCTTCCCTCTCCCTAATGTCCCTCAGAGGTCTGAAAAAAGAGGCTGACTTAGTCCATTTCTTCCAGAAAGTAGAAAGACTGTCACAGCACAAAGGATGGTGTGTTGTATGCGATGGAGCTGGGGCACTTCAAAAAGAAAAAAACTAAACAAGGACACTTAACAGTTTGCTCCACCCCTTTTCCATGCCGAAAGCTCTTAAATATGTACTTGCCTGTTTGTGCAGTGAATGGCTTCTCATCTGCTGTCCGTGGGCAAAGTGCGGAGCAGTCTGCTGTGCCTCTGAAGCAGCATGACCTCTTTAAAGCCGCAGGATCTGCGGAAGTGCCTTCTCCCCGCCTTTCAATTCAGAGATCCGGAAGCATCTGCTAAATCTGGGTGCAAAAAGCCTGTTGGTTGCATAATTCTTCCTCCAAAATGTTTCAGTCATTGGCCTGAGTCAACTTGTCATGATCTGTTACAGTGGCTGTGGAGAACTCGAACTTGTTCTACAGGTGTACCATTCCCATAAGATTTAATTTCTAGTAGGCTTCTGGTTTTCATTGATACTTCTGATCTGTTAGGATGAGGAACAGTGTGTTCTGGTTTAGGATTTCACTAAACCTGTGAGAGCTAACTAATTAGGTGTGGCGTAGGCAAGGGGACAGTGTTAGGTTTCTGGAGGCACTTTTATTAACTTGTTGACCAGATGCACACACGTTTCCATGCTATACGGCTTGTTATAGCAGAGGGCTTGTGTGCCTCCCTGCTGAGGGATCCATGCAGTGGGCTGCAAGCTCTTTGCTTCACTGCAGTTGATTACTGGGTGGGCTTGGAATTGCCGTACAGTATTCATCTGCCTTGCTTGTTTAAAAGCAAAACCTGTCCATGTAAACATCCAAGGAACCAAACACAAGTTTTTACATGAATACTTACTTTATTAGTTTCTCTTAGAGTACTGTACAAAGGAGTAATAAAAATATTCACTTTATTTTAGAAAGTTGTCTACATGAGACTTCTGTATACACAGCAAAAAGAAGGGCTACTGGAAAAAAATCCTAAAACTATGTACAGTGTCAGAATGTTTCATTTAAAAAAACCCAACTAATTTAGCTCACTTAAACTGATCCAAGGAGGATACGTATACACAAACACTTGCATGCTTAAAAGATATTATAGGCAATGATAAAGCAACATAAGTCACAATGAGAAATATTAATGTGTCAACAATGGTAACCAGCTGCTGTCCCCTTTTCAAAGGCCAGTACCATGCTTCTATTAAAACAAACAAACAAAAGTAATGATTAAAAAAAAGACTTGGGAATTAAGTAGCCCCAGATCTCAGGCTTTTCTCTTTTTTTTTTCTTCCTTCTTTAAAAGGCTTTTCCGTGGAAACGGTTGGACTGTATGACATTGTCAGCTGTGTTAAACGAATCGCAAGACTGTTAGTCCTTGTTTGTCTTCTGGCTTGTGCAGTGACTGCCGTACTGTGCGAATACACGCCTGGTATTGACAGTGGCCTAGAAGAAGCTTTGCCCAGGACAAGATGGAGCAGAGGAATGGGTCAAGTGGTAGTTTTCAAAAGCTTTTCTCCTTCGGCGTTCATTGCAGAACAAAAAAGAAAAGCATTTTAAGTACTTATCCAGTAATTGTTTCTCAGTCACAGGGCGGAGCCCACCTTGAATTCTCCAGCTGACAGTTTGCCCACGTCACTATGCAGGAAGCCAGTACAATACCTGTCAAGTGTGAAGTGATCAAAATCCCGTTTAAAATAAATAATGATGAATTATCTCCTTCCTGCAGGTACTTGGAGAGAAGTCTACAATCCAAACGAATGAATGGAGAGTCTTCGCAATTGTGTTCTGGTTCTCCACGCAAAAGGTAGGCTTCACCCTTGGATCGCTGCCGTGTTAGCTGCACGTACATGTCTGAAAATGCTTCATCCTGTCCATGCTGCCCTGATCGCCCTTTTCTCAGAAATGAGTTACCCCATGAGAGTGTTGGTGTTCTGAATATGTTCTTGAACTTCTTGAATCCTGTGCGCAGGATTAGCCTTCGAGTGCTGAACTCACTTCTATATGAATTTAACAAACACAAATAAACCAGAAGTGGTCTCAGTACGGAGTTCCAAGAGACCTGGAACTGTGCCTGTGACTTCCACACCACTGCAGTGGTGGTTTCCAAGTGGAAAGCTCATCGGGTGACGCTGCCAGGAAGGAGCCACGCATCTGCTGTACGTGGGTGGCTCAACCAGCAGCACCCAAACCCCTTTCACTTAAAACTACCTCAGGTACACCAAACAAGCAGCAATTCTGACTGTGGTTTAATTACAATTAACTTACGGTTTCTTTTCTATTTTTTATTAATTCTGATATCTACCCTTAAGACAGGATCTTAAGGAAGCTACTATCAGATGTATAACTGTTCAAGTAATTATTAATCTTCTGTAGATACCTAACACACCACTTTATTAACATGAAATTTTTCTTCAACTCTCCACTCCTTTCCATATTTCTCCAGTTTTCATTTGTTTCCCTTAATTGGATTAACTGTCTGAGCCCAAGTTAACTTCAGTTATTCTGTGGCAAAAATGCTATCCCTGGGTTGTAAAGAATTGCACTTGCCATGTAACACACATCTGCGTAATGGCTGTTTTAATCATTTGTGTGAACAAGGTAAATCAGAAAAGCTTACTATTATAATTAAGGCTTTTCCTAACAAGTTTTAGACTTTAGGCTTTAAAACCTGCTTTTTTGGGAAGTTCCATTCTGTTTTATAGTTGATCTTTAATTTAACAAAACGGAATCAGATGTCCATAGTGTCAGTTAACAGCACACACCCTTAGCTGTTGTAATGCCAAGGCCTTCGAGGCAGCTGTCTGAAGTGCTGCACTTCATCGAGAAGAGCTGACCCCTACTTGTACTAAACATGTCAAAACATGCATATACTTGGAAATAATCAGTATATGTCTGTCTATATAGGAGTAATGTTTTTAAGCTTATAATGACTGTTTCTGTTGCAAAAAAGTTGATGCTTTTTCCCTCGTACTCTACCAAAATAAAGAAATAGTTTTCTTTCTGCTGGAGATTTACCCCGGCATGTAAGTTGTGTCTGTGGCCAGACATTCAGATCTGTTGAGCAACGTACAGTCTGCCTCACAGCCACAGCCTTAGCCATCCTGCTAAGGACAGACTCGACAGCTCTGAGGGCATCGGCCTTCCCATAAGCAGTCCAGGCATTGACACTGTTGATTTCTCGGTCCTTTCAAAGGTACTTAGCGGATTGATGAAATAACTCTATTTTGAAAACAATATTTTTCTAAAAGTCATTGTCTAGTAGCTTAAGAGTATATTGGCTTTAGGGTATATAGTACCTTGACTAAAGCAGCAGTCCTTATGTCATGGTGGTTCAAAGGTTTAACCCCCCCATCAAGTAAATCGCACATCTGTCAGACTCCCTCGCTGGAGAATAGCACTTGGGTATCAAGCCAGATTCTCTTCTCTTTCTACCTTCTTGAAAACTTCCTTTTCACTTAAAATATTTCCACTTTTCAAACATACTAGGTAATGATTCTCTATGCATTCCAGCAGCCCTCTGAGGTACACTAAATGTTTTTCCCTCCTCTGCAGCAGTTTGATAGCAAGTCTGAGATAGAGAAGTAAAGCAGCTTGCCTAAAATTATGCATGGAGTACTACTAGATCTTCTGTGCAAACCTGAAATTCCCTTATCCATGTCCAATGCTCAGACCATCAAACAACTCAACAATATCCACTGTGACCTCTAAAGCTAGACTTGGCTAATGCAGGAACAAAAATAGCATATTTAGAATGTTTATACCATTGTCAAAAGTGTGAGACAATATAAGCACTAAGACAGCAAAAATACAGGCTTTCATGAGTTTACAGGGGAAGCACGAGGAAAACCACATTTGATGCGGCGCACAACCCAAAAGAAAA